GGAAGTTATAATTTTTCTGTACTGAAAATGTATTTCCGGCAGGTACTTATCTCCTTTCACACTTCCCACCCTTGCTCCCCACTGAAAATTGGTGCTTCCATTTGCAGATTGCTTATGCTCCCTTTGAATAGAGGGAGACGCATGCATCAAGGGAGTATGTCGTGCTCTTATTGATGGAAGTTTGCAGGAAAGACGCATTGGAATTAGTCAGTTCCAGATGGGTGGAAGCTTCAAGGTTTGTGGCATGTGCAAACATTTTTGTTTTTGCATATAGAGGGCAGCACTGAACAAGAATAGCTATTTAAGTGAGATGAGGTAAGTACATATATCGGAAATACATTTTCAGTATAGGAAAATTATAACTTTATTTTTACGTTAAAGAACAAGACCACTACATTACCATGGTCTCTGAAAATCTTGTAATATTATGGACACTTTCAGACTGTTATTCTATACAATTATAAGCATTTTTATAATGGTGTTATAGTTGTAAGTGTTGTACCTACAGCTAATCTGCTACTGAAAGGAATTGTGACCAACTAAGGGAAACAAGCAATTAAGATCAAATAATTTTATCTATTAAGCAAAAATGTACTTACCCAAAGTAAAAGCCTAGTATTTTGGATATTATTCAAGGAACCTAAATTTAAAGTAAAACAACATAAGAATTAAAGTAATATCCATTTATGTTTAAAAATAAAACTTTTGGAAATTATAACTATCTTTCAAGATCTTAAAAACATTAGGAATGCATAAGAATAAAACTAGATTGACTATTCATATAATATATTGTGTTAACAATACTAAGTTGTCCATACTAGCCACTGTATGTGTTTTACTTTTATGATGATGGTATGATACGTGTTAACTTTCTAAATAATAGCTGCATAAACATATTTTCTTTTTTCATGAAATAAGAAAGACTGCCATTATAAAAAATCTGATATTTTTTTATTAATTACTATATGACTACATAGTCCTACAGTAACTTAAATAGAATTCAAAGTTAAAATAATGCAAATTATTTCGTATTAGGTAAGATTTAATTATTATAGCTTTACTTTACAAAGCTAGAAACACAATATGGAATAGGTAATAAGAAAACCCAGAGATTAATTGTATAATATTAGTTTTATTGTGTTGATACTCCAAAATTGGAAGTGAGGCTTAATGAATCACTCCCTGTTACCAAACTCTCAAGGTTTTTTTTATGTATGCTTCTAGTACCACCCATACCATAGAACAGCTTCCACCTTTTAGAGGTCTTGTAACTGATGTCACAAAAATTCCTGTTTCATTCATTGAAAAATGGTTATTGTTGTTAGTAGAGGTTGTTAGCTACTTTTAAGTAGCTAGATTTAAAATTATAATTTTATTCAGTATACTGGGATGGAAAGACTAACTTCAAGTAGCTGGGCTTCTCAGCTTTCCCGTGTTATACTTGAATAAATTTTCTAGGAAAAGGGATGGGGTTGGAAATATGAACTACATAAAAAATATGAAGGTAAGGTTTGTAGTTCTATTTTAGATCATTTTATTCAAGATCTTTTACTATTTTATTTCTTTTGTAAGGGCAGAGGTTTGGAGTTGCATATAGTAGAAATATTGGGGTGGTTTTGTTTCTACTTTAGGAATCATAAGAACTTTTAAGGGCAACTACCTTCCCTCAACAGGCTGCAAACAGTGAAAGGTAGTAAGAGTTGAGACATTGTGGGTATAAACACTCAACTCCATTCTCTTAATTGATTTTCCATACCTGCTGGCTAGCTCAACATCAGCATTTGCATTTTGTCTGGTAGATGGGATATCCCCAATGCATTTGGGACCGATTGTTCATTATGACTTTAAGGTGACAACTAGGATTGACAATGGATTCTTTCCTAAAATTTTCTTAATGCTTATTTTATATTAAATTCATTATTGTTTTAGAGTGTTGATTTTAATCACCTATTAACAATTAATGTAATTAATAGTATTGAAGCTATTTATTTCACTATATATATATAAAGTATGGAAATTTTCCTTTATAATCTAAATTCTAATTTTATAGATTTTTCTTTGGCTTATAAAATACCTAATTAAAATATTTTAACACATTTCTAATGTTTTCTTGTTTTTTATTTTTGTACAACAATTCTGATCAGTTTGTTGTTTGGCTTCAGTTAAACAGTCTGCTGGTGCAATTAGACCAACCCTGACACTGCTGTCTAATAATCAGAAAGTTTCCGTACAACTTAACAGCCATTCAGGACCAAATCAAGTAAGAAATCAGACTTGTTCACTTAAGAAGATTCCGTGTTGTATAGATATGATGTGTTAGATTTGCTTTGGTTTGTTGGATTTACAAAAATATTGAATTATTGTTTGGCACTTTTGGGGATGGTGAGAAGTTTTGTGTTGAAATAAAAACAATTTGATTTTATTATGCTATGAAAATATTACCTATGTAAAACAATATTGTCATGTAGAAAAATATGACAGTAAATTATTATTACCATAAATACAGGGTGTCCCAGGAGTCTGGACCTATAGGGAAAATACACAATGTATTCTTAGTTTATTTATTATTCAAATTGCATGTCATTAATAGCCATACACATATCAGTTCCAGTTTTTGGTGTACTGTGCGATCAGGGTATTTTCTTTCCTGAAATATGTACAACTGACATTACCAATTTGTTTGTTTAACTTTAAAATTATAATGTTTATTTTTCCTATGGGTCCAGACTTCTGGAACATCATGTATATTATAAGCTGAATTACTTACTGAAGAATTTCTCAGTCACTTTACTGATACTGATTGTTTTGATATTTTCACAATTTGTTGAGAAATATCCCTCTTTTTGTTTTAATGATTCACACTATGGGCTAACATGTTTTCATTTTTTGCAGTTTTTGCCACTAAGAGTGAATGTTGCATTATAGCTGTTTATTGTAATTACATGTATATGGTAACTAGCTTAAAATTCAACTTTAAACATATCACCATTCAGTTGTTTTTCCACAAAAGAATTGTTAAAAACTACTCAGTTATAATGAAAACTGATAAACTGTTGATTTGAGTTAGAATTTGTAATGAACCATAATAGTAAACAGTGCTTAAAACCTGTTGAATATAGTAAGAAAAAAAATCAAAATCTATTCAAACATGTTTGTTTTATATTAGCAAATTAACTGTTAATGGAAGTGAAGACTTATTGACCTCCATTATAATTTTCCCAAATAAAAAGAGAACAAAGTGTAAAAATATTTTATTTATTGGAGTATTTTGTAACTTTCAATTTGAAGGTTTTTATATATGTATATTGATGTTTGTACCATTCCTATCTTGTAAGCTTGTTGTGAGTGATAAAAACTTTAAACAGATATTAAGTTCATTAATAAAATACTTATGTATGTTTTGCATCTTCCTTTTTTACCATATTATTAACTTGTTTCTTGCATATTTTCTGCACGTAAATGCTTTACATACTTGTACATAGATATTTGTTTAAAATATCTATTAATGAAAATTTAAGCAGTATTCCCCATTCTGAACAGCTGATAGATGGAAACAAAATTGAACTAGATGACTGCATTAATTATGAGCTGGTTAAGAAAAAATTGGGAAATTTAAAAAAAATGATAAGGCTCCTGGGCCAGGTAATATTTCACTAAGGGTTTTGAAGGAGGTTAAAGATTGGATATGTGAGTCACTTACAACTATTTTTTGTCACTCCTTGAATAGTTGGCAGGTACCAGAGGATTGGAAGTTAGCTAATATAACTCCTCTTTTCAAGGGAGGTGATAAAAATTGTCCCAGTAATTATACACCCATTATTCTTGCATTAGTTGTGGGAAACGTTTTGGAAAGTCTGTTAAAAGATGCTTTGCAAAGTCATTTAACAAAGTTTAGAATTTTATTGGATAGTCAACATGGTTTCACTAAGGGAAAATCTTACCTTTCAAATCTTTTAACATTATCTGAAAAGGTTACTGCTTATGTAGATGAGGGTAAGGGTGTAGATTTGGTGTATCTGGATTTTCAGAAAGCATTTGATAAGGTGCCACATAAAAGGCTTGTAAAAAATTCTATCTATAGGTGTGACGGATAAGTTTGCAAATTGGATAGAAGAAAGACGAGGGTTGTTACAAATGGAGTTCAGTCAAATTGGATTAATGTCACAAGTGGGGTACCTCAGGGCTCAGTCTTAGGACCTTTGCTCTTTCTGATTTACATCAATGACATAGATGAAGGAATAGTCAATAAGTTACTTAAATTTGCAGATGATATTAAGGTCTTGGGTGTTGCTAGCTGTGAACAGGATGTTGCTGACGTACAAAAGGATTTAGATACATTTAGTGAGTTGGGCAAGTAAATGGCAATGCTTATTGACTCATTCCTTTTACTTAAATTTGCAGATGTTATTAAGGTCTTCGGTGTTGCTAGCTGTGAAGAGGATGCTGCTAATTTACAAAAGAATTTAGATCATTTAGTGAGTTGGGCAAATATATAGCAGATGGGTTTTAATTATAATAAATGCAAGATGTTATCATAATTGTAATTATAAGTATAATTTGGATTGGAATAACCTTAACAGTGTTATGAAGGAAAGGGATCATGGTGTAATAGTCGATCAGTCTATAAAGCCATCCAAGCAGTGTCCTACTGCTAGTGGTAGGGTAAATAGGATTTCAGGTTGTATCTACAAAATATTGAATACAAGTCTAATGAGGATATAATTTCATTGTAAAGGTCACTGGTTAGACCACATTTGGAATATTGTGTTCAGTCTTGGGCTCCTTACCTTAGGGATGGAGGGGTTGGCATACGAGGAGAGACTGAAATATTTCAAATTGTTTTCTCTTGTAAAAAG